TTTCATTCGTCCTCCGCCCCACATAGTCTGACACATTCTCCTTCTTCTAGCGTTTTGTTGGTTTTTTTAATTTTTGTTTTTTTTGTTTTTTTTTTGTGTGATATGGTTGGGTTGGAGCTTGGGGGGTGGTGGGTGGGGGGAGGGGGGGGGGATAAGGGTTTTAAGGGGGGTGAGGCAGCTAATACCCCGAGGCCATCAAATAATACTTTAAATTAATTTTTGAATAGAATAAGCTCCTGCTTACATTTTTTTGCCTCAGACAGAAACTAAGTTACTGAGCAATACAAAACACCTGTCAAGAGGGATTGTACCTATTTTTTGCCACTGTTATTAAATTTAAAATAATTACTTTGTATAAGCAGAGGGGGTTGCGAGCCACCAAATTTTTTTTTCTTGCATGATAAACAGACTACAACAGGAAAGTACTGCTCAGTAGCCTTTGTTTTAATGGTAACACTAAAACTACATAACAATGATTATTACAACCATATCTATCTCTGGCATCATCCTGAGTTCATGGAGGTTAATGTGAGTTGAGAGTTTTGTTTGTTTTTATTGAGAAGAAAGAGAAAATCTTTTGTTGTTTTATGTTTTCCTCACACTGTTGGAGGTCGGTGTTGCAAGTTTCCTTTTTCCAGCTGTTGAGTATCAGTTATTAATATGTAATTATCAGGCTTACTCAATGTGGTCAAGCTTAAAATGAACAAAAAGTTTAAAATTCCTTGTGAGCAAATTGTACAAAGCAAACACAACTGCACGAAAGGCATTAATAATTTGTTACATGTATTTTTAAATTCAGTTTAAAAAATCGAGGAATTCACAAACAGTCTTAAGCCCAAGTTAGAAATTATATCTGAGTTATTTCTTCAAGAGCTTTATATCAGGCTGCAAAATGGTAAATTATTTAGGAGATTGTTTACACACAGCTGTAAGGGATTCATTCTGCTTATCATGTGTGAGAGGGTTTTTATATCTCAGATATCATGGTTTGATTTTCAAAGGCTGACTGATTAAGGGTCAGATAGAACTTTGACATCTTAGCTGTCTACAGATTTGATCAACAAACTATCACATTTCCATTGGTAAGAAAATAGGTTAAATGTTTGCAAACAAAATCTTACTGAAATTTTTTTTCTTTGGATCTGTACAGTGAGGCAATTAGATTTAGCAGACTAAAATTAAAATATGTAGTAATGTTGATCAAACTAGCCTAGCCTTAATAAAATACAAGCCAAACTGAGCATAAGTAAGATAAATTTAAAAACAGGCCTTCAATTTGAACCAAAGAGGATAACTTGAAAGTTGACCATTGAAATGATGCTGTTGAGCATTAGAG